CAATAACATGCTTAAAATTTATGAACCTCTTGTAAATAGGATATACCATATATATCTGATGTGCCAAATCAAATTGGAGTTTTCCTTTTTCATAGTATCCTAGATGCCATCAATTGTAGGACACATTATTTTATGTACTATTTTAAAAATGCTGTCAGCTAAGGTAGGACACTGTTATTACAACACCATCAATAATAGGATGCATTCTGATTTTAAAGATATTAAAATGTGAAAAAAATACCTTGTAGGATCAATAAAACCTAGTAATCCGTTTCAGAAACTAATGAGACCGCTACTGTCAACTTTTGAACATTTAGAACATTACATAGTATATTTTAAACATTTGTCAAGTTGTTTATAAGCTTTTAATCAAATAACATTAAATACTCAAAAGGAAACAGGCGACAAAACTAAAAGGCATCCTGTGGAATGGGAGAAAATAGTTGCAAATGACATATCCGATAAAGGGTTAGTATTCAAAATATATAAAGGACGTCTAAAACTCATCACCAAAAAAAAAAAAAAAAGAATAATTCAATTAAAAAATTGGCAGAAGACATGAATAGACACTTTTCCAAAGAAGACATACAGATAGTCAACGGACACATGAAAAGATGCTCAGCATCACTCATCATCAGGGACACACAAACCAAAACTACAATGAGATGTCACCTCACACCTGTCAGAAGGGCTAAAATCAACAACACAAGAAATAACAGGTCTTGGTGAAGATGTGAACAAAGGGGAACCATCTTATACTGTTGGTGGGAAGGCAAACTGGTGCGGCCACTCTGGAAAACAGTATGGAAGTTCCTCGGAAAGTTAAAGCTAGAACTACCCTATGACCCAGCAATTGTGCTACTAGGTAGTACTAGTATTAGTACTAATTCAAGAGGATACGTGCACCCTGATGTTTATAGCAGCATTGTACGCAATAGCCAAATTATGGGAACGGCCCAAGTGTCCGCTGATTGGTGAATGGATGAAGATGTGGTGCATATACAATGGAATATTACTCAGCCATAAAAAATAATGAGATCTTGCCATTTGCTATGGATGTGGATAGAGCTAAAGAGTATTATGCTAAGTGAAATAAGTCCGAGAAAGACAAATGCCATATGATTTCACTCATATGTGAAATTTAAGAAAAAAACAAATGAACTCACAGGGATAAAAAAGAGAGGCAAACCAAAAAACAGATTCTTAATTACAGACAACAAACTGAGGGTTGCGGGAGGGGAGGCGGGCAAGGGGACTAGGGTAAATAGGTGATGGGGATTGAGGAGTGCACTTGTCATGAGCATCAGATGATGTGCAGAAGTGTTGAATCACTATAGTGTACACCTGAAACTAATATTACACTGTATGTTAATTAATAGGAATTTGAAGAAAAGCCTAAAAAATAGCATGAAATTCTCAAAAGTAATTCAGAAATAACCAAAAACTGTACCACTTAATAGTTGTATGCAAAAATCCATGGAATTTTTAACCTTTCAAAACACGGAACCATACCACTTAGAAAATCAGTTTGAGAGATGAAAAAGACTCACTAAATTTATAAATCACTTTAGGGTAAAAGTTTCATATGATATTGGGATATCTATAAGCTTTGAGCTTATATTCGTAGGCACACAAGACAATAAAGACTTGGCAGCAAATTAACTAGATTGAGGCAGAATGGGATTGTATGCCCAATGGAAGATGGGCGGTAATTTGCTACTTGGCAGCTGCCAGCTCAACAGTAGGGACACAATAACAAGACTGGTGAATGGTGAAGTTCAAAACATTTCCTGGCATAAGCTGAGGCGTGAAAAACTGATTTTCAGCAGAGTTTATTGGCATTTTTGAATTAGCAGAAATTAGTTTGCTTCAGAATAGAACATTAAGTATGAATATAATATTAGAAGTATCCATGTAGTTCAGCTGCTTTTAGGATTTGATATTTGTTTGACTTTACTGCAATCGATGTAAGTTCTTTTAACCAGTTTATTTAGTTTTGATTCTGCAGATGTAAATATAGTGGTTTGGCTTTCTTTTTAAGCCTTCTGTATCTCTTAAATTCTTCTTCAGGGTTCTTAAAAATCAGGGAAACGCTCTTGATAAGAAAAGGAAAATTTGAATTCTGCTATTGATTTAACCAGTATAGAAGCTTAGGCGAACTACTGAATTTTATTTATTTATTTATTTATTAAAAAAAATTTTTTTTAAACATTTTCATTTATTTTTGAGACAGGGAGAGACAGAGCATGAACAGGGGAGGGTCAGAGAGAGGGAGACACAGAATCTGAAACAGGCTTCAGGCTCTGAGCTGTCAGCACAGAGCCCGACGCGGGGCTCGAACTCACGGACTGTGAGATCATGACCTGAGCCGAAGTCGGCCGCTTAACGGACTGAGCCACCCAGGCGCCCCTGAACTGCTGAATTTTAATTGTCTTGTGCTTTGTTTTATCTATTTGCAAAACATTAATGTTAATTCCTTTGGAAGATGCTTGAGGATTCTCTGATTAAATGCAAACTTTGCACAAGAAGAACTTTATAATTATGTATGATTGGAACCAAATTTTAATAAAAAGTCTGGGTGTTGAAACATCAAAATTTTATCTCATTAACATGATGCTAGAAAAACAAAGCCAGTTTAATCCTAATTACTTTGAATTTTATATATGTTAGCTTTACAAATAATTTTTTGTGCACAGCTCCTAAATCTACAAATTTGTTGAAAATGATTCATAAATTTGTTCTAGACACCGGAAGATGAGGACTTCTGTAAAACTGTATCTTCAGCTACCGTGGGAAATACAACTGAGGCTCCACAGCCACATCACCACCACGACCATCACCACCATCATCACCATCATAATCATGAGCATGGGCATCAGCATCATGGGAATGGTGAACTTGCAGAGAACCAGCAACCAGAAACACCAGATGTCCCTGGGCACCCCCCTTCTCAAGTCCCTCATAACCACCACAAGCACAAGGACCACCAAAGACAGGGCCATCCAGAGGACTGAGATATGCCAGCAGGCAGTGAAAGTTTACAACTTTCTGTCCCACCAAAGAAGCTCTGACGAAAGGGATGTATAAATCAATTACACTGCAAATTGCCCAAAGATTCAGAGTTGGCTCCTAGCAGCTGATGCTGACACTGACGACATCTGATATTTGAAAAAACAGGGTCTGCAATCACCTGACAATGTAAAGAAAACCTCCCCTCTTTATGTAGCTGACAGGGACTCTGGGCGGAGGAGAACGTCATTGAATCTTGACAGTGACGTTTACCTCCTGCTGCCTGACACGCAATTCAGCAGCCCAAGCCCACAGAGGCCAGCACCAATTGAAGCTGAGAAAATAAGGCCAAAATGTGAAAATGACCTTCATACTAAATATTTTAAATAGGATTTTACTCCCCAAGTCAGTCTAGACAATTTCTTTTCCAGCATTTTTATATGCTACCTAATTAACAATGATCTAAAACTAAGAATTGGATTTGTACAAAACACGGGGAAATCTATTATATTGGCTCCCAAATTTTAAAATTTAAGTCAAAGAAATTTTGACTTAAACCAAATTTTTATTATTTTATTATAAAGGTGATTGCAGCACTTGGTTAATATGTTTTTCTTTTTCTTTTTCCAGCATTCTACTTGTATTAATGAGAACAGAGACATAAACTATGACCTAGGGGTTTCTGTTGGATAGTTAGCAATTTAGAATGGAGAAAGAACAACAAAGACATGTTTTCCATTTTTTTCTTTACTTATTTCTCAAAAAAATACTTGTCTTTTTAATCTTACATTTTTAACTGATTAAATCTTATAAAGAACTGCCTTTATAATTCTTTCAGGTTCCAGAAATACTGACACAGGAATATTTTGCTGTGACTACATTTTAAATATCCATTTATACTTTGTATGTCTAAGAGTCATAGTCTTGATTTTTATTATCACATATGAATGAAACTCTTATTTTCTTTATCTAGCATTATATCATACTGTTTAAAATTTGAGATAGTCTGTCTTGAAAGATGTAATGGAGAAGGTAAATGAATGTTGTCTGTCTCTTGATTGCTTAGAAAGTATTTCCATAGTCAATGATGGTTCAATAGGTAAACTACGTGCTATAAACCTGAACTCCTCTATGGTTAATACTATTAAGCAAGAATGTGGTACACACAGTTGGCCAAATGTGTATTTGTTTAAATAAACTCAATTTAAAATGTTTAAAGCGATCTTTTTTTCACTGTTATTATTTAGGTAGTATGTTATATTAATGACAGAAGTGGCATTTTCAACTGCTTTTAAAGAAATTAAGTAGCAACTAATGAATTTACTGTCATACTCAAAACCTTCTACGCTTAGGGCAAGAACCTTTGTCAAAAGGTTTAAGTTGAGAATCTTTGTCAACAGAGAGACGTTGCTCTAAACTGCGAATGGTATTACGAAGAACTGCAATCTCCTTGTTTTTTTCTTCTTGAAGATGTTGAAGCTTCTAAATAAAGCAGCAAAACATTTGTTATTGCAATTCAGAAATAGTAAGATTAAATACAAGAAGCAATAAAACAACAAAAACTACATTTCTGGTTTAAGTAGATTAAAAAAGCTTGTTTTGAAAGGTTTATGATTTTATTTTTATGAGGCTTATGGAGTACAACTGGAATAAGGATATTAAAACACGTTTTAGCACCATTTGTTTTAGTTTATTCTCTTTTTTGTATATAGCTTGAAGTTCTGAATCATAAAGTAGGAGTTGAACAATAAAAAAAATATATTACCTAAGTGCCTAAATAACTTCAGAATAGTAGGTCAGCCTTAGTTCAGAACAGATCATGGAATTCCTTACATGACCAAAGATCAGAGGACTTCTCTAACGTTTTAATTTACTGCTAAGCTTTACTATGTCTTTAAATTTTTTAAAGTTTTATTTATTTTTGAGAGAGAGAGGGAGAGAGGAGGAGAGAGAGGCTCATACTCGTGAACTACGAGATCATGACCTGAGCTGAAGTTGGACACTTAACTGACTGAGCCACCCGGGCACCCCTAAGATTTACTATTTTAAATTGAAAGTGACTTTTAAATATTATTCAAGACCTAGTATCTTTCTGGTTGTGTGATATATTTTAAGAAAAACTGTTAAGTATATTGTTAGTAAATACTAGATAGCTTTTATAGAAACACACTGAGAACATTTATTTTCTTACACAATGGCTATGGAAAAAAATCTCACATACCCTTCTGTAGATACTCTGTGGCAAAACAGTAGAATCTGCATAGGATTTTGATTTAGTTTGAACTCTTGCTAGTTTGGCATCAAACTGAATCAAGTTTAAAAAGAAAGTCATTGAGAACATTCTAGTTAAACAATTGCTTCTATAAATATAAGTATAATCCATTATATCTTTTAACATGTAATCTCTAATTTAAGTATATTCTCTGTACAATACAATATAGAGAAGTTTTTCTTTAAGAAACAGTTTTTAAGAAAGAGCAAGGAACACCCAAACAAGATTAACCTTGCTCCATGTTAAAATTTCCTGGGGAGCTTTTTAAAAGTACCAAATACCTGGGCACTACCTTAGAGATTCTGGGATGGAGTCAGCATTATCTTTTTAAGACATTAAAAAGATAGATGATAGATGATTCTATCATGCAAGGCAAAGAATCTAGATAACTAGGGTTGAGAATCTAGTTAAAGATGGATAAAAATATTTTCACATTACTGTGAGTATCCTTTTGTAAAGAAATGTAGTATAGTCAACAGTCATGGGATAAAAACTCATATACTCTACTGTAAAAACTTTGAGACTAAGTGATAGAATCTGGATATAATTTTGTTGATTCAGTCTGAACTCTTTTGACATTAAATGAATCAGGTTTAAAAAATTCTCATAAGTCATTCTTACAGGTCATATATACATATATTTTTTGCAAAATCGTTCATTATAATTCTTCCCTTTGGGTTGAGTTCAGTGTAGCCTCTCTGTGGTCTAAAAACAAACTCTGTGAGATTGTGTTCTGGTTTGAGGAGGAAAATGGATAGCTACAATGAAGACAAGGAACAAAAAGAGTTGTGTGCATCAGTGTAAACCACAGATTTGGGCTCCACCAGAGACAGGGCACAGATGGCAAACAAAATGCACATTTGCAATCAATGGATTAGAAGTTGATGGTAGAACCTGAAACATGGCTTATTGTTTCTCAGTTGGCTATCCAGACCTCTCTGTGGGTTGTGGGCACACTTGACCAGAGACAGTAGCAGCAGCAAAATGCCTCTCAAGTCAACATCAGTTCCCTTTTGCTCAAAGATTATACAGATTTCAACACTGAACCTCACCAAACACCCCAGAGATACCAAACATCCATGAACGTGAATAGTAAGTTATCTTTAATAACTAAACTGGGGAATTCTGACAACATAAAGTAAGGTGGGAGTCAGACTGGGGAAAAGCAATGGAAGAATGATGGAAATGGAGATGGGTAGAATCTAGAAAAAAATTTTAAAGAACAAATATATTGTCAAAACATCAATGTCTCTGAGATTCTGACATCTGGTTAAACAACCTACTGAAAAGGCTTTAGAGCCTAGAACTAGAACTGCAGCCTTTGAGATGCCCTATGTAAGGTCCCTTTAACATTTATTTATTTTTTAAATTTATTTTTATTATTATTATTTTTTAAATACAATTTATTGTCAAATTGGTTTCCATACAACACCTTTAACATTTTTTTAAACATCTAGTTTGTCTGCCCTTCTGATATGTATTGTCCACACATTTATTAGGGAGCAACCTGCCTCTTTTTAATAAAAGTTGAAGGAATTTCTATTGGTTTACCAGGGTTCCACAATTTCTGCTGAGGAGAGAAAAATGTTAACGATTAGATACACTCTCCCCACTGCTGGAATGGTAGTCCTATGAAGCTTGCATAGACTCAGCTACAAAGTGTGGGTAATCCTTGAATTATCGATCTCCAGTCTCAGAGTAAACAGTACCCTCTCTGGAAACCAGGACCTTTTGAACGACTGAAGAATCCCACCTTCCAGCCAAGTGCTGCAAGATAGCGTAGCTAGCGTGGTCTGGTGTTTGAGAACTGCACGTGACGGAGAATGAGTGTGTCGGGGTTGTTTCTATACCTGAAGTTTATCTCACTGTGATGAAAAATAACCAAAATTCAATCTAGACTTAAGGGATGCATCTTCAAATTTAGCAGACCCTTAAACACTTACCTCGAGCTGTAATTTGATTATTTCACTTTGTTTTTCCTTTTCCTGAGTTTTTAACTTTGCATTTAACTCTGAAATTTCCACCTCCTTTTTCTCTATCAGTTCTTTATGCTTTTCTTCATTTGACTCAACTGAAGAAAACGAAAATAAATAAATAACTAGTTAATTCATCTTAACATTTCAAACATTTTATAAGCTTGTATTTCATAGCATTTTAAACAATCCATAAGCAAGTACATTTTGGTAATAAGTAAACATATTTTAGAAACTTTATATGCAGGGTAGGTTTTATATATTTTGAATAAGCCCCTACAAAATGCTTGAAACACAAAGATCACCCATTAACTGCTTCTGAACAAATATGCTGATTTGTATTCTTTTTTTTTTTTTTTAATTTTTTTTTTCAACGTTTATTTATTTTTGAGACAGAGAGAGACAGAGCATGAACAGGGGAGGGGCAGAGAGAGAGGGAGACACAGAATCGGAAACAGGCTCCAGGCTCCGAGCCATCAGCCCAGAGCCTGACGCGGGGCTCGAACTCACAGACAGTGAGATCGTGACCTGGCTGAAGTCAGACGCTTAACCGACTGCGCCACCCAGGCGCCCCTCACTGATTTGTATTCTTAAACATGAATTATATATAGGGGTGTCTGGGTGGCTCAATCAGTTAAGTGTCCGACTTTGACTTGGGTCATGATCTTGCAGTTTGTGAGTTCGAGCTCTGCATCAGGCTCTGTGCTGACAGCTCAGAGCTTGGAGCCTGCTTCAGATTCTGTGTCTCCCTCTCTCTGCTTCTCCCCTGCTCGTGCTCTCTCTCAAAAATAAACAAACATTTAAAAAATTAAAAAAAACATGAATTATATATAATTATATAATATATAAATAATATAGTAATAATAAAATTAATAATTAATTATTAATATAACATATTAATAATATATAATACATATAATATTATATATATATGTATATATATATATGAGAGACAATAAATAGGAGACTTAGTGGTTAAACAGGGACACAAGGCCTGGGTTCCTAGGTACAGGGGGTCCCAAATTACTGGATGATTCTAGAGCTACATCAACCCCCCGCTATACTCTGTTCCACGTGATTGGGCCTCTGTCATGTTCACACCATGTCTCTATGCTTCATCAAATTTCCTCTGCTCTTATCTTTCCTATTCCTACTAGTGATACCATATTATCCAGTATGGGAGTCTCAAGGACATTTCTGACTTCAGGGGGAAAAGAAGGAGTCAACTCATCCACAAGCCCCACAAATAAGGGGTCTCCATCCATGATTAATCCACTACTTACTTAGTTTCAAGCCTCATTTTTGCCTCAGTTGGACTCTATGTCCAGGCTCTTAATCACAAGTCTCTACACCCTATACACTGTTGCCAGGTTAGTCTTCCTAAAGCATACCTCTAAGTATGGGCATCACTTTCTCAGAAACCTTTAATCCCTCCCTTTTTTTTTTTATCCTAAGATTCAAGGGGTCAAAGAATCCAGCCCTAGCCATGGCTGCTGGCTTTTTTCTTGCTAACCTTTCTGTGTGGTGCAAAGAAGAGGTAAGAAATAGACTATTATTCCCTAGAATGTGCTATGTCTTCCCCTCTCTACGTCTTGGCTTCTATTTTCTTTCTACTGAGAGACTCTTTTTTTTCCATCCTCTCCAGTGAACTTTAGCCATATTCAGTCTTCAGGATCAGGGCCTTGTACTTAACAGTGCTGAAGGACAAAAGTTAGTAACTTTGATAAAGTTCAAGTTAGAATGTTTTCCTTCATTGTTTGTGCTTTTTAATTCTTTCCAAGGAGTTGTAGCTAACTCAAGTTCACAAAGATTATCTTCTATGCTTTCTTCTAGCAGTTTTGTAGATGTAGGTTTATATTCTGACATTCATTTTCAGCAAATTTTTACATATGTTGTACATAAGTATGGGCTCATTTGGAAAAGTTTTTATTACTTTTATGAAACCATATAACTCTCAGCATAAGATCATGAGACCTGCTTTAATAAAGGAAGAAATTTTATTATTGAAATTATATCCTATATGCCAAGTATATAAATATTAAAGGTATTATACATTTCACATTAATTTTTATATAAGGACATTAGCTGCTTCATATTAAATAATGTTAAGTACAAAAACCATAAATCCAGCTTAGAAATGTTGTAATTTATATCACATAAATAAATTGAAAGGTACAAAACCCAAATTAAAATGCATCAAGGCAATGTTCATTCAAGAATACGGGCAATTACTGAAAAAAGTTTATACATGCATTTAAATTATTTTATGATGTCTTAGAATTCAGTAGGTCAAAAATAAAAACTTACTTTTTTCCTGCATATCCTGATAAAGTTTCCTTATTTCTATTTTATGTCCCTCCTCTTTGATTTTCATTTCACTCATAAGTTTGGCAATATTATTCTTATATTCCTAAAGATTAAAATACATATTAATTCTTCAGTTTAAATATATGTACACAACTTTCCACTAATTAGAAAGGTGAAATTCTCATACTTTATATTAATTGTTAATATTTAACCATATCTAGAGAGGAAAGATATTGTTTATCGCTTGAATAATCAGCTTTGAGAAGGAACAATTTCTGGTCCAAGTAGATACAGCCCATCCAGAGACAATGTATTCTTATCTTTGCTTCCTGAATACTCATCACCAGTGTTTAACATATCATATAATCTCAAAGTATTTTGGTAACTGTATAAATAAATGCCATGATAGCATTAAAACATGTCAATTAAAGCCAAAGTTATACTTTAGAGCTAATAGTACATTCTGTTCGATAGCTGGCAAGCTTAACCTAACATAGGATGACTCCTTTGAATGTGACCTGATGTTCTGTTTCTGAAAATTATATAAACAGCCCTAATTCCCAGAAGGAAGTTAAGCACTACCCATGGTAAAGGTTAGTGTTATGAGGAGGAGGCTAGAGAAGAATGAATTTGGGAGTTGAGAAGTGCTTGACAAGTGCCTGAGATTAGTTTCTTAGGTTGCTGCAGCATAGAAATGATCATTGTGTTAATGTGGACAGTCGCATTCAGAGAGGTGTTGGAAGAGAAAGCCCCCAAAGATAAAATTTACAATTTTTCCAGAGGGATGTTCCTACATAAACCACTTACAGTCCTAAGATGTAGGCAGGAGAAAAGGAAAGCAGCAAGAATAAAAATAAAATAGGATACTAAGAAAGGTACATTAATGAAGGCAAGAGGTTCAAGAAAAGCTTCTAAACATCATAAAAGCAGGGACTTTATTTTTACTCATCATGATGTCTCCAATTCCTATAGTATCTTAGGCTAAGCAATATTCTATGGCTTGACATTTTAGAAGAGAAAGAAGGTAAAAATTTCTCCCCCTTTTCTCTGCCCCAATGATACCCTAACTGTACCATCTATCATTGAGCTTTATAGGAAAGGTATGGAAAGAATGGGAAAGAAGAAAGGAAAGGGATAAAGGAAAGGAAAAATAAAGGGTGGGATATATTCCACACATATTTAAATTAACTCAAGTGAGGAACCAGATTGAATATGGAAATGATCCTTCAACTTGAAGTTCTAAGCTTGATACAGATCCAGTTTGAGTTTTGGAAATCTTAGGTCTGCCAAGGTTTGACATGTTGGCTCTTGGGAAAGGAGAAAAAAATTATGATAATAAGCCTCCCAAAGGGTGGTGGGAGCTGACATTTACTGAGCACTTTTTATGTTCTAAGCACTGTGTTATTTGTTCTATAATTGCTGCCGTATGCTGTTCCTATAGGAGAAAAGAAAAAGTAGCAGAGGGTATGGTAGCCCTGGGGAGAGAAATAATTGGTTATCCACATAAAGTCTTCCCTTCGTTTGGATGATGCAATAAAATTGCAAAAGGTTACTTAAATCAGAAAGATCAAGACTCATTTATTTTATGGTAAAAAGTTTAAAAGTGCTAATTAATAGAACAGAGTATACTCTATAGTAAAAGTTTTATTAACATAATTTAAAAATATGTAGCAAAATAGTTGTATCTCTTTTTGGTGGGAAGACAAAGTAATATAAGTGATACCTTAGTGCGTTATAGTCTGCAAAGAGACTAGAGTCCTTAAAACTGTTATTTCTTTAAGAAATTTTATTCATTAAAAATTCTGGCACACACATACACATATATATATTTCCTTTCCAAATTTTGGCTGTCCTTATTAATGAAAACCACCCTCCTTTTTTTCTAATTTGAGAAGACAAATGCTCTACAGGAATTTGATTGAATACAAAAATACATAAACTCACTTGTTCATGAGACTTCAGCTTTTCTCTCATAAGATCAGCATTTCTTTTTAGTTGTTCATTTTCACCTGTGTAAAAATAACCAGAGGGCATCCTAATACACAAAACATTTTAACTAACATGGGAATACATTTAACATTTTGAGTTTCCTTTCATATATGCATTCAACACATACATACAGCATCTTCTACACACGAGGTTGCATGCATGGCGCTGGAAATATTGAAACAAACAAAATTATTGCTCTTCAAAGAACTTACGGCCAAACGGTAAAACAGATGTGTAAGTGGTTATGATATGCTATGATAATTGCTCTGGAATGGCAGTGTGTCTGAAATACCATGGGGACTTGTGGAAAAAAAGTCTTATTCAGCCTGAAGTCAGGAAAGGATTTACAGAAGAGAAACCATTTGCACTAAGACTTCCATGATAAGGGTTACCCCAGGTGGCAGGAACGCATTTCACATACATAAAACTGCACAGAAGACTTTGGGCTTGAGTGACTATAGCACATTTGGGCAAGTTACAATTCAAATACAGTATTGTTGGAATGTAAACTCTGAGGAGGATGTGCTACATAGGTTGAAGCCATATCCTAATAGGAGATGGACATATTGCATATGAATGGCTTTAAATTTTATCTTATAGGTTACAGTCAAAGAACTTTGAACAGTGAAGGGAAATGATTAGTTACATGTTGAAAAAATGATCTGGCAGTGTAGATGACGAATGGGCAGGTTTTGACCCTAGATGAATGGGTATCAGTAAAAATAGATCAAGTAAGAAATAACAGGAGCCTCAATTAGGTCAGTGGCAGCAGGACATAAAAGAAAATGAAGATAATTATTTAGATGGTAAGATTACCAGGAGACTTATGACTGACTGGATAGCAGAGGCAAAAAGGAAAGGGGAACTTTTGCTTTCTAGGTTTCTGGTTTGGGTAATTGAAAAATGTTTGGGTGCCTGGGTGGGCTCAGTTGTTAAACATCTGACTTTGGTTCAGAACACGACCTCAAGGTTCATGAGTTGAGTCCCATATCCAGTGAGTTCAAGCTCTGGTAAAACCGGAGACCCACTTCAGGTGAGCCTCTCACTCACTTGCGCCCCATCCCTCTCTCTCAAAAAACAAAGCAAAATTAAAAAAAAAAAAAAAGAAAAAAATATTCATCAGTTTGGGAAAGATTAGAAGAGGAAGACTTTTAGGAGTGAAATGAAGACTATAGATTTTTACCTGCTAAATTTGATTGCTTGAGATATCCAGAAAACATTTCTGGTAGGCTGAGAAATATTTAGAGGTGGCCAAAGGAGAGTATTCTGTAAAGGAGGCTGAGAAGTGTCCAGAGATGCAGGAGAGAGTGGTACTGAGAAAAGAGAGGTTAAAGGGATCATAATAAGTAGCAATAAAAGCAGTAAGAAGATCAAGTAAAAGAACTTTGAATCTGAAAACTTTGGGAAATGCTCAATTGTTGTAAGTTGAAGACTAGGCAAAGGTAAGGCAATGGATAGAGTGAGTACACCAGACCATTCCCTTGAGGTTTGATTGTAAAAGGAAAGAGTGAGGGCATTTGGAGGGAATCAACCTAAAGTTAAGGAAACTTTATTTTCTTGTTTATTTAAAATATGGGAAAGATGTGAGTTGTTTAAATGCTGAGAGGAATGGACAGTAGAAATAAATGAAAGACAGAAAAGAAGGGACAATTGAAGATGCAATACCCCAGAAGAGAGACAAGAGTTAAACCCAAGTGGAGGAATTAACTTTGGATAGGAAGAAGGATTTTCTCTCTCTCTTTTTTTTAAGCTAAAGAGGAAGGTAGTAAGGATATGTCCAGGTATGTATATATTTGGAAGAGGTATAGTGGGAAGAAGAGGTACTAGGTGGTAAGAAATGAGATAATTTATGTCTGACAGCTTTCACTTTTTCTGTGAAATAGAAAGTAAAGTAAGTTGAAAGAAAAGAACAGGTTTAAAGTTGGGGGCTAGAAGATTGCAAAGTTTGAAAAGTCAGGATAAATTAAAGGTATAATTGAAACTGAGATTCATAAATTAACATAGGTCTGCAATGTATGTTTTGTTTTGTTTGTTTTTTTTTTACCATTAGTCTTCAGTAATTGCAGCCTTGTAAGTAAAGCAGGTGTATGGTTGGATTGATCCATATTTGAAAATTACTATAGTTGGTATTACAGGATGGGTAATGGAAATAAAACCACTGCCAAAAGAGAAGATAAGTAATATTCTAAGCTAGATATATAAGCTATAAAGGGAGGAAGGTTTTATCTTACAGCAACATTATTGAGAGCATTGTTATATTTACTTAATGTCTTTTCATGTAAAATGTAAATAAGAAAAAAAGAGAAACATATTAAAATATGGTTTTGCATCGTTAATTTGCCATATTGTTTCAGACCTACCATAATTGACATCTTTTGTATATAACCAAAGCTATCTTCTGACTTGGGATGATTAAGAAGGAGCAGTGCTTGAGTTTTCTATACTCACCTTGGTAATCTCTAGATTAGATCAGGAAAGAGTCCATCCTGATATAGTGTGTGATGAGGGTTTGAAACAGAGCCAGACTCTGTACCTAAGCCAGACATAAAAGGCTCAAAGCTAAAATATAGGCCAGGAGTAGACTTGGCATCAAGACTTGTAATTCAAAACCAGTGTGAAATAGAGGCCGGGGCTTAAGTTCAGGGACTACTGGGGACCAGTGACAAGGATGAATGAGACACTAGACTTGGATAACAGTAATTATAGCTTTGTATTGTTTAGAATCAGTTTGTCTGTCAATATAGACAAAAAAACATGCTAGGATTTTGATTGGGATCACACTGAATTTATAGATCAAGTTGGGAAGAACTGACATCTTGACAATATTGGGTCTTCCTATCCATAAACATGGACTATTTCTTCATTTATTTAGTTCTTTTTGATTTACTTCATCAGAGTTTTGTAGTTTTCCTTATATAGATCTAGAACATATTTTGTTATACATATAGTTAAATATTGAATTTTGGAGGTTATTGTGTTTTTACTCTCAAATTTCACTTGTTCATTGCTGTTATATAGGAAAACAGTTGACTTTTATGTATTAATTTGTATAATGCATGCAACCTCGCTATAATTGCTTATTAATTACAAGTAATTTTCCTCCCAAATCTTCTGAATTTTCTACCTAGACAGTCATGTCATCTATGAACAAGGACAGTTTTATTTCTTACTTCTGAATCTGCATACCTTTTATTTCTTTTTCTTGTCTTATTGTCTTGTCTTACTGTCTTATTGTACTAGAACTTCTAGTACAATGCTGAAAAGGAGTGGTGAGAGAGGAATATCCTTGCCTTATTCCTGATCTTAGTGGGAAGTCTCTAATTTCTCACCATGAAATATGGTGTTAGTTGTAGGCTTTTATAGATTTTCTTTTTAAATCAAGTTGAGTACATTCCCTCTACTCCTAGTTTACTGAGATGTTTTATTTTCAATCATGAATGGGTGCTGGATTTTGTCAAATACTTTTTCTGCATCTACTAATATGATCATCTTTTCAATCTGTTGGTGTTCTGGATTAAATTAATGAAGCTTTGAATGTTGACTCAGTCTTGTATACTTAAGATAAATTCTACTTTGTTGTAGTGTATAGGCCTCCCAAAGCATTTTTCCTTTCTGTTATGGAGTTTTTGATCTCTAGCATTCCTTTTTGCTTCTTTCTTAGGATTTCATCTCTCTGCTTACATTGCCAATTTGCTCTTACATGTTATCTACTTGATCCCTTACAGTCCTTAACATAGTAATCATAGCAGTTTTGAAATTCCCAGTCTGATAGTTCCAACATCTCTGCCATGTTTGATTCTGCTCTGTCTCTGCAAATTGTGTGATTTTTTTTGCCTTTTAGTTGGGTTAATATAATAGAGAGTCTAGGTTCACCCTAACTTTTGGTAACATATTAGCAGCTCTCTTTAGAATACGGAAATATTTAGCTTAGAAATATCTATTTTTAAATCTTGTGGTCTAGTTAGTAATTTCAGGTTAATAGCACAAGTCCCACTCAACATCCTATTACACTTTTCCTCCTACAATCTTAACATAACATAATCAATAACTAGTCACAGCAATAATGAATCATTAAAGATTAAAAAAAAATTTTTTTTAACGTTTATTTTTGAGACAGAGAGAGACAGAGCACGAATGGGGGAGGGTCAGAGAGAGAGGGAGACACAGAATCTGAAACAGGCTCCAGGCTCTGAGCTGTCAGCACAGAGCACGACGCGGGGCTCGAACCCATGGACTGCGAGATCATGACCTGAGCCGAAGTTGGACGCTTACCTGACTGAGTCACCCAGGAGCCCCATTAAAGATTTTTTTAATGTTTATTTTTTTGACAGAGAGAGAGAAAAAAAAAAAAGAGAGTGAGCAGGAGAGGGGCAGAGAGAGAGGGGGACAGAGGATCCAAAGCAGGCTCCATGTTGACAGCAGCGAGCCCAATGTGGAGCTCCAACTCACAAACTGTGAGATCATGACCTGAGCCGAAGTCAGATGCTTAACTGACTGAGCCACCCAGGCACCCCTAAAGATTTTAGATGTTATATGAACAATGCTTTAGGAAGGCTTGTCTTGCAATATAGTACTGTTAAGAGGAACTTTGGAAATGGAGTCTACATATGAAACTGTCGCAGAAGCATGGGTAAGAGGTTATGAATATGTAAAATTGATATTGTTGGAGAGGAAGAGTACATAGTAACTGCAAACTTTTAGAGTCCTGGTTATTAGGAGAATAGAAGTATTTGGAGCAGAAAGAGAAAATCCAGAACTATGTTTACAGGGGAAGATGATGAGTAGCATAAATATCCATTAAATCACAACATTACAGTGAGAGTAGAAATCTAAAATCAGTTTGCTTTCAAAGGCTGTAATCAGACAGATAAGAAAGTGTTATATTTTAAAGGGTCATATTTTAAAATGAAGAGCTTAATCTGAATGGTGGCTTTAGTTTATAAAAATTTTGCTGGAAAATTGATATTTCCTTGAATGAAAAGCACCAATAATTTGAAAATATTTCCAACTAAAATACTTA